GAGCCAATTCCGCACGGATCTCTCGAGGAAATCAGGGCTACGTTGGCTGCAAACGGAGCTCGGAACATCCTATTTGCCGTGGACGAGCAGTCACGACTGTGTGAAAACTGGAGTGAGAAATGGCGCACAAAAATCTGGCGTTCCTTAATTAGAAGATGCTCGAGAAGGATCGGAAGATTTATCTTGCTTTTCCGTTTCGCATCGAGGAATAATTAGAACAATAATTGGGGCACCGCTCGTTCAATTTGACGTCGATGCTCGCAATTGAGATTTAAGCGCTCGCGGAAATAAGCCCGAGAGACGAGAAATATTCGAGGTAATTCGGTAGCTTTTGTTTTCGACCAGACGAGAATATTTGAATTCTCTAACCATTTTATAAACTCGACCCTTCACCTGTTGGCCCGCCTTCGAATTGGCAAGATAATACAATAGAATTATTCTTCGAGGCAGCGCCATAATTTCAAGCACCGAAGATTACGCTTCTTCATTGTTAACGTGTTAATTACCCAACCATTTTTCTCCTCAACGTAATACCATGACTCTGAATTACAATTCTCTCTTCCGTCCAGAAAATCTCGCGATGGATGAAAAACCGCTGAACTCTCGGCTAACAAATCACGAGCTCTTTTGTCTTGAAAAAAAAGAAGGGGGGAAAAAAACACGAGCCGACTAAAACGTGTCCTGGCCCTTGTATGCCAGTCCTCGCTCGTTGCTCTTTTCACAGTCTTCTTCCCCTTGTCAGAGACACGGTTTTATTTCGCGGAAATTATTTCCGTAATCCTGGCTCAACCAGGGCGTGTCAGACCCGACCCTCCGTTGAGAATCAGCCGAGACGCACGATTATTTATATATCGTTTCTGAAAACTATCTGCACTCGACGATACTATCGTTGGGTATGGTAGAATATCAGCGAACGATCTTATGGAAATGCCCTGGTCGGATAACAATCGGTATCAGGAGTGGATGAAATGCGATCCACTTGATTTCGAGCTCGTTGGGAATTCAGCATGAGCTCTATGTAAGTTGGAGAAGTTATCGCGTTGATTCCACAGGGTTCTTTCACCTCTGGATAAGTTTCTCGACGAGAGACAAGAGGTTCCTGGTTTAGAATTTGTTTAATCAAGGACCATTCTCAAATTACGAATTCCCTAGTAAATGTTCGCTGTAAATTATGATTCAGATCCCTCCGAAGCATCTGTTACGTCGCTGAATTTTAATTTACAAACGCGATCATAACATCATAAACTGATATTAACGTTAAATTGCAGTTACGCGGAATTATATAGACGAAACATGTATATAGCGGCAAATGATATTTGCACAGAAATTATCCGAAATATGTTTACGTTCAATATTAGAGATATTCGTCCTGGGTACGCGAATCACGTTTGCACCCCGGAATTACGCGCGTGTACACAAAAGTATCAAAATCGTGTTTAACCTAGGAATAGAAGCGGTGAAAACGCGATCAATAATAACATCGATCGGGGAATATCGAGTGGCACGCGACGATCAATAAGAAATTAGAACTCCGCTCTCTGTTTTCACTGGACGGAGATCCGAACGCGTCAAACGCGAAAGCTCAAACGCAACCGAATTCCTATCTCAGTCGAACAATGCAATACAGAATCAGGCGAAATGCGATATCCCTATCGTGCCGAACTCGCCGCGCGATACCCTGAAGCTTACCGGAATCCCACTCAGAACGATGAACGATTACGGGGGCGACGTACGCTGGTCGATCGACTGATGAATCGCCATCACCTAGCCGGTTGCGGACGAAAATTCAAATGGCCAACGGCGCCCCGGCCATTGGATCCCCAGAAACTAATAGACCGAACGAGAGAGCTGGAACAACCGCCGACCTGCCTCCAAACTGACAGACGAATCCACGTTGTGAAACTGAGATTAGTTCGAAATTCGAGAGCTCTGACGCGAATCTGCCACTGATTTTGCAACAAATGTTATTGTTTTGCACCGGATCGCGTTCCTTCGGAGGCGTAACGAAGAAATTTGGCGCCCAGGGACGTTTAAATAAATTTATATAATACAGGTCACTTCAGATCATTCCATAACTTGAAGTTTCCCATATGTACTAATTTATATATTCGATTTCTTTTTGAACCAGTGATCAAGAAATCTCAAAATTTACCAGGAAGCCTCTTTCGAGGGGTACTAAAAATACCAAAGAATTAAGAAAATCAAAAGAAAAAATTGTTTAAACCGTCCGATTTGACGTGGAATGCCCCTTATTGGCCTATTTATATTGCCAGAGGATTTCAAGATGAATATAGATTTTAACACGAATGCGCCGGACAACTAAGAGTCGATCGTCGAATTCTTACAAAACAAAGTGTGAGTCGAAGCCAAGGCACCTCTGCCTCGACCTACCATTTAATTTAAACAAATTTCTTCGATAGAAGGTACGAATATTTATGGGACTGACTGTTGTACATCGTCGAAGCCTGTAGTCACGATTCGGTTCCGACGTTGATCAAAGTAATTCCCGGAATTACCGGCTCGCTTCCCTCGTTTGCGCGAAAACGTGACGGTCTTGACGGAAACTTCCAAACGAAGATCCTGCCGCGACATTGTTCGAAGTTCCATCCGGGAACCCTACAGTTTCTTAATGCTGCATGTTCATGCAAATATGATGCAGGTACAAAGTCGCGTCGCATCCTTGGCCGGTGATCCTTTTGCTTTTGCTATTTCTCGTGCTCTCTCCACCTGAGGTGGCTACTCCACGAAATGAGATGGAAATCGAATAATTAGGCTCCTCTATATTGAGAATTCCACGTATCGGAGGTGTACTCTTTCAGAAATCTCTTCTAAGAGTGCTTTCCGCTGCCGGAATCCTCCCAATCGAGCGCTCCTCTCTCTTGGAGTCCTCCGCGAGGAAGTACGAGTTCCTTTTCATCGTAGTTTTCTTCCATTGTCGCTCGAAATTCTTTCCCTCTTCTTGAATTATAAATTAATTTACATCAACCGCAGCATCCGGCCAAGTCTAAGAATCTTCTGTGTCTCGATCCGAGCCTTTTGTTCCGGGCAAGAGTTCTCGCCACTGCTACGGATGTCCCCCATTGTTATTTCTTCGTTCTTACTCTGTACTCGGATCATTATTTACCGCGAGGAATGGTGCTCAACTACGACTCGACGATCATTCCGAGGCTCGTTCGTTCTAACCCTTGTGGTCTGCCACTTGTCCAGACTTCGGCCGGTATTAATCTTCGCTGAGACCGCAAACGGTCCTCCTTTAACATGCAAATACAGTCCGCATTCGGCCACGAATATAATTTACGTCTGTCCTCGCTGAACAAACCGGTGAAATCAATGAAGCCCCCGGTTTCTTGGTTCTGACCCCGACAGTTCCGTGCCACCCTTTCTTCTGCGGTTACCTTGTCGAATTAGCATTTTCAGCGGTGAATTGTTCCCTGGGCTAGCGGTGGCCAAGATGATAGCGGAGAGATTTAGAGCTACGTTACAATTTTCCTTCTTGCTCGTTCGAGCCTCTTTGGAATCCTTTCATGACGACGATGAAGGAACTGGGCATTTTTTTTAACACTTACAAGCCCAGAGAAATGTTTTTGTTCGTTAAATCAATTTTTAAAAAATATCACATTATAGAGGATGACAATACGAAACTTTTTTATATTTACAGTTTATTCATAGGACGTTTAGTTTCGGATATTAAAATTGGAATGTTGCAAGTTGGAACTATCGTTAAGTTGGAAAAATTGAATTTTAGGAAAAAGATCTTGCAAGTTTTCAATGTTTATCTCTGAAACTAAACGTCGTATGGAAAAACTGTACATACAAAAAAGTTCCGTCTTATCATTCCCTATAAGCTGCTATTTTATTTAAAATTCACACCTACGTCTTTTAGAATTTCCAGCAAAAATCATTCCGCGACATTTTGAAGAATCTGTGGCGGTAAAGCACAGTCAGCTTATCTAATTTCCGGAGACGTTTTCGATGAATCGGGATTGATGGGTCAGAATTAATGATCCCTTTCGCGAGTTACTCACGGCGCAACGATTTTTCATTAATTCGTTCGGAAATTTTCCGGTACGTTTTCCCAGCGCCGCGCGAGAATTACGCTCGCGGTGAAGTTGAAGCTCAAATTTGCATACTGAACGTGTGTCAGGGGAGATAACTTCGCGTTGATGAAAACACGACACAACATGGATCCATGAATTCGCATTTGCACCGTTATAACACGGTGGTCCGCGCTACAAACAAATTCTAACTAGGCAAAAGTATTTCACGGTTTGCTCCGTGTAACGAAATTTATTCGCTGAAAAAATTATTTGTAAAAAGCTGTTTACTGAAGTCCATGGCAAGAGGTGTTTCGAACTTTTAATATCGCAAATTTTCAATTTAATACTGCAAATAAAATTTGTAGCATGCTACAGATTTATAAATATTTTTTGTGAAATATGAATTTATCTGGTACGAGTAATACTGTAGCGATGTAGCATAATAAAAGGTAGTATAGCCGTAATGTTATGCCGTGGAAGGTGTAGGAAGGATCCGCGAATCAATCAGCCTTTCTCGACACACACAGATTTTATTTGGGAGTTCCAAACAACGATACAGATTTAATTAGTCTCGATTATTATAATAGATAATTATCTGTCTTGTTTCGCAAAGAAATCCCGAAAATATTTGCTACGGCATCACAGTAATATTGCTCGTATTTTTATTAATATTACAGTTATTTAGTCATTACCCATATTTCTAACTACATTTACTACGATTGCAACTAGTCGTCTCTCGGCGTAATTAACTTTACAATTATTATCGCGTCGCTTTGTCGCGATACCTGCCGTGAATTACATTTCCCCCTTTCGAGAAACGAGCATAGCGCGTATTCAGCCAGAAACTACTCCGGTACCCTCAAAAACCTCCGCGCACGTTAAAGGGAGACACAAAAGGGTACTCGAAGCGGCAAATGAACTCGCGTCTGCAGAAGCCTAACCTACGTTTCGAGACGGTCTTACCTTCTGTTTTGCCTCGGTTCTTCGGATTCTTGATACCGCCAGACGAGTACCTTTCCAACGACTTCCAGGGTCCTGAAAATACACACCGCTGTACTGAAGTACGGATTATAATACCAACGAAACGGGTCGGAACAGTATAACTAATTTCACTGAATAATATCGAGTTTATTGCTTCTGCTAAACGTATTCGAGCAAACTTCCACAAGCATTTTCGAAACTATCGTAATAAGTCTAAATTGCGCGGGTGGCGCTGTATTTTTCGCGCGGAAAGTAGTCGTGCTTAAAACTGCGAATTTATTTCTTGAATAACTATTTATTGAAGCGGGCCTGGTTGGAGGAACACTAAATAAGTTTGTTACCAACGCAGACCGGTGTAACCGACGTTCTCCGCGCAGCGGTACCACTCTTGCAGCCGTTTTCACGGTTGTCTTTCATTATTGTTTCACGGATGGGATACGGACAAAGCTTATCACCGTTTTCACGGTTCCGCTCAGTCATTGTTCCGCTGACGGCAACCGAACAAAGAGTTCCCAAGTCGTGCAAAGGGTGTCCTGGGCAACGGTAACATAGCAGGACATCCTCTCTCGCTCTTCCTCCGCGTGACGTTTGTCAGTTCTTCCAGTCAGTCCAACCGTAAAAGTCTAAAAAGTTTCACCGTTCAAGCCATTTCCAGAATAGCTCTTGTTCTTTAGTCGTAGGGTTACGATTCCATTTCCGATGGTACCCGAACGAGCCATTACGCCGACGGGTGTGATCCAAGCTGCTCGAGAGCCCGTTGAGAGGCAACCGGGAACTAAGTTGCGTTTGAAGTGGTTATTCTAACGAGCGACCGCGGAGTAAACAGATCATAACACGGGTTCAGCCATGCGACTCCGGCTTCTTGTTCACTAGGCTATCAAATCAACCCAGGGTTGAGCTAATAGAGCTTAACCGCTCTTTGAAACGATCCACACACGATACGATCTGTCGCACGACAGATCGCACGGACATCACCAGTTTTGTCATTAAGAAATGAAAATACCGACCTTCGCAATTTTTATCAAAACGGAAGCAACAAAATGAAACCACACATGACATAATTTGGACAATAATTAACGAAATTACATGAAAAATCTGATTGCATAATTGAAAAGTGCTTTTGTTAAAAGTAGTCACCAAGAATCCAACGGCATCACGTTCACGTTGATAGGATAAAGAATAAAGAATTCACTTTGATGAAAAATTGATTCAAACAATCGAAGGAACTCGTCGAAGCGATTTGTCGTACGACAAGTCATACGACAGATCGTGTCGTGTATGGAGCGTTTAAAGCTGTTCGAAGTGTACACGTTTCTCAGTCTGATCGGCCAGTAGTGAAAGGCTGATTAGTCTACTATACGTTGAAAGACTTTATCGCTTCCAAACTAACTACTACATCGCACTTTACTACTGCGTTTTAGGCGAATTAGATATACATAGATGCCTAGGTCTGATCAGTGCATGCCCCCATGTTGCATCGAATAATAACAACGGTACATTTCTCGTTTTTATGATAGTCGACGGTTCTTTTGTTTTCTGTTCAACAGGATGCTAACAATGCGTTACAGAATCGGACATTGAAACCTTTTCGTTCTCGAAAAACTGCTAATTGGCGAAGCATTCTACGTCTTGTGTCGTTAGTACAGAATCCACTTTTCCGTGCCATGCGCGTCGCTGATTGCTTGGAATCGTGTAAATATGGCATTCGAAATGGTAATAAAAGATACCATTTATGCGTGAGCCCGTTGAAATTAAAAGCATTTCAAAAATTCACTGGGAATATTCACTCGTCCGAATAAACCACTGGGAGTCAACAATTTTCCCATGGAGTTCATGGGTGCTGCACAAATGTCCGTGCCCCTCTCTTTTCTACAAATGTTCTTCTCCGTAAAAAGTGTGTACCTCTGAAATAACTTTGTCGTTTCTTTTCCATGGGGTAATAAAAGGATAATAAAAATTTGCCCAGCGTATTCTACGCCAATGCGCACGATCGCGCGAGGTATAAACAGTGCACGCACAAAGCCAACTGAGCTGATACGTAGCGGAAAGCATCCAGGCCCGGTGTCCTGGTTTCCGGTCGCGTATTCAATCCCTCTAATCTCTGCGACGCTTGCACGTGAATGCGTACGTGGCTACTGTAACTCGAACAGACGTAAGCAACCCTCGCGACAATTATCCACTCCCCGCGACTAGTATGCTCTTTTGCCTGATGTCATTTATATCCCTGCTACTGGATCGCCGAAAGCTCGTTTTTCATCCCAGAAATATGCAATACTAATGTCGTTGCATTTTGTAGGAGTTTAACACGTTTACGCCGCCGTGTACCGCCGGTGGCTCACGCTTATATGTCCTATCGGGCGGTGTGTACCACCGGTGGCTCACGCTCGCGTGTCTAACAGATGACGCGCACTACCGTGCCGCCCCATGACGAGGAACCCAAATAGCAGCGCCGTCGCACAGTGCATTCGTTCGATTTTACTAGTGCTAAAATGAGAAAGCATGTTATGTTCTACCATTCTCCAAAGCACAACACCCGTGCTCGAGCGATCAGTTTATAGTTTGCCGCTACACCAAGCCCCCTGATTTATCTACGGGTTCCTTCTCGTCATGCTCGGGAACAAAGTCAGGCCGAATAGCATACCCGTTTCGACTTATAAACGCGCCGTTCGAGTTTTTTCGACGAGTCGCAATAAATATTTTCGGAGTTTCAAACTGCGATAAATCCGCCGACCGAGTAAAAGTCGTGGCTTTACCAACGACGGTATCGGCGCTGCTCTGCGGGTAGAAATCGGACGAAACAAATAAGTTATTAGAGTTCAAGAGCGTGACTGAAGATTCTGTCTGGAGCGAAAACGTTTGAAAATGGTTGAAAACTGTTATTTTGAACGACACGAATTTTTAGAAAATAAAATGTAGAAAATCGAGTCCTTTTAACACTCCCTTGACGTCGGCAAAACGTTAATTTCCCCGGGGTGGATGAAGCCTAATTTCCCACTCCTTTTTCGAACGATCGTTACACCGGTCCTGGTGTCGAGAAGGGTAACGAGATCCGTTCGAAGAGAAGGGAGGTAAAAAAAGAAGGGAGACCCGTAATTCGACGTGAATAACGAGAAGAGGCGCGATACAGATGTTCCTGAGACGAGGTTTATCGGAATCCACTAGATTCAAACGAGCTTCCAAGCGACCCTGTCAATGTCAGCAGTCCACCCACTGTTTTTCTTTTGTTTCTCCATCAGCCTCGAATCGATTATATTTTCACCCTTCGAGGTACGTGTCCGTACACACGGGTTCGAAAACGACAAGCCTGGCTGCGTAGGAGGGGCTTGTTATCGACAAAATTGTAATAACCGATTCTAAAAATTACTGAACCATCGCTGTCGATACATGCGACGAAGTCCGTGCCTTATTTTTCGTTCAACACGTTCGCGCCGGCGCCTCACACTGGAATGGAACGTATATGTACAACAGTAGTACAGTAAAGTCTCCGTAAATGCACAAATATCTCCATCATAAGTGATAGGGGTGTAAGGGGTATACCCCTTGGGAGGTCTGGGAGTTCGATCGCCGAGCAGTGTAACATGATCTGGGACAAGGTATACCCCTTGAAGGGCCCATGAGTTCGATAGCAGTGTAACATGATCTGAGATCGAATTAGTCGATAAGACAATTTAATACAACAATGAAACTCTTTTTTATTCTAAAACATTTACTATCATATTCCTGACGTTTTTCTGATTAAAATGAGACCAAACACGACGTAATTCGCAACATATTTACTTGTGAGAACTTATTATGTATCATATATCGCAGAACACTAACTGAAAAGAAAGCATGGTAAATATCGTCACGAATTATATCGTGTTTGGTCTCATTTGAATTAGAAAAGTGCCAGGAATATAATGGTAGAATGTACAAAGTCCACCATAAATGCACTAACAAATACAAGGTATAGAAAAGCCCATGGCGTAAAACAAATTAATGGAAAAATATGGGAAAGAATCAGATAAGTGCAATATGGGAGAAAGAGGCCCATGCACTTGAATAAAAACAAGCAAGCGAGTTGTTTATTTCGAGACAGAAAGCAGTTCCGCGAACGTCGGCGTTCGTCTTCCTTCCGGGTCATTCGTTAAACCAACTTCCGATAGTTAGCGAAATAATATGGCTCTCCAAATGGGACTCCCCTTAAACCGAATCAGTGTATCCATCCATCCATCGGTGGTTAAAGGGTTCGTGTCGTTGGCGAGTATCGAATGGACCTGGCTTACGCGTGGGTATCGATACCCCAATGGTCGCTGTGGAGTAGCCGATCGTGTGCTCGAATCAGGGCGTCGATAGCAGTAAATTCCGTGGCGTATCGAGGGGCAGAAGTCGTTACGCGGTTAGTCGTAACGATATGTGAAATAGTGTTAACGCGCCGCTAATTAAAGCCCACTTTGTTTGATTAGACGTCGAGGACCATTCCGGTTGTCCAGAAATTAACCGAGGATTTTGTAACCGCGAACTTGCCACACGCGTCCATTGGTGGACGGAGCTTGAAAGTATTCTTCTTTATAGAATTCGTTAGAAATCAAATCAACGAGTGCATTGTACGATCAAATGAAATTAGACAGGTGATCGGGAGTGAAATGGGAGGCAAAACGGCAATTTATAGTCACGACGATACGCGCAAGGTTATTAAAATCATCCCGTGAGCGTAACGTAATTCGCGATATCATTGAAAACGGCACGCACGCATTGTCCACAACGATCGTTTATATCGGATAATTAGTTTCTATTCGAATTAATTTGTTGCGACCACTTCGCGTGGGCTCAATTAATTAATTGATTAATTAGTAACAGCGATGCTACTCCCCGAAACGAGCGAATCAATTCGAAAATTTCTCCTCGATGATGCGTAATGTCATTGAGAGGACTTATCAAAATCACACCTGTCCTTTGAGTAGTCGTTTCTGCGAACAACGTGGCTTTCCGTACCCTAGCATTTAATTAACATGCACACGCGCCAATGCGATGCATTATTTATCCCTTCCACGCGCGCCCATGCGGCGGATATT